CGAAATTAGATTGTTGACACAATTTTAACTTTACTTATTGCTTATATTATTTGTTGAAATTTCGTTTTTATCCAAAATTGCATACTTATTCCAAGTTTTGAGATGACCTATAATAATTCCTTATTATGAACGATTGATTAACTGTCTCACAATAGACGGTTTATTATAGCTCAAATATTTTATTAAATAAATCTATAGAGAAGACGAATGTCTACATATTACCAACAGGGAAATGTTTTATTCAAGTTAGTTTGTTTAATAAAGAAAATACTTTTTATAATTCACTACAACATGTTCAATAGAGATGAAAATATTTATTTTAATTTTATTTATTATTTAAAAAAGGGAATACTGAAAGTAGTAATCATTCATTTCTGTTATATATCAGTCAGTCAGTCAGTAACAACGTAGAACTTCGTACGTACGTACATCAGTTCGAATTGTCACACCACATTAGCACAGAGATGCAGTGGTCGATTCAAATCCCGTAGTGGTAGAGGTAATAAGAGTATAAGCAGTAATCGGGAAGATTAGTGTTTGGAGATGTTATTTAAAGAGTATAATACAGTGAAATAAATTTGGGAAGAGAAAAAAAGAGACAAGGAGAATTTAGGAGATTAGAATTTGAGAGAACACAAAGAGTGTATGCACCTGCGCCATTGCAAACGATTTTGAGCCGTGTCATTCAGGGTCTCTAACCATCGGTTGCTATCATCTCGCGGTCCCCAACCAGGTAGTCTACACCTACCAACATGACTCAGTCCACTTGTCAGTGACTTCATATATATATATAAGATAAAATAAAATGTTGAAAGAGATGAAATGTAACCGGAATTATCGTGGAAATAAAAACAAACCAGTTGGGGGTAGAATATTTAAAGGGAAGATGGAAGGTAAAGCAGATGGCTGTTAAGGAACAAGAGTGTGAAAAAGAGAGAAAACTTTAATACATTAAGACCATGGTAGAAGAAGAGGTTGTACCAGTCTCTTTTGCACACACAATTCTGGTTTTTCCAGATGTATGGCTATTGCTTCGGCAATGCAAAGAAGATGCAATCTAATTGTCTTAGGAAGACTTCTACTTACCTTGTAGATGACTTTGAACGCAGAGTCTGTCTTGATTAAGTGACCTGTGTTCAAAAGGTGTTCGATTATAGAATTTCTTATATATAGGTCTTGTAGAAGTGACGACGTACTACCTAAGTAAAAGTGTATACTTAGAAAGAATATTAGTGAAATGTTGGTGAATGAAAAGTAAAGTGAAATTAGTCACATAACTATTGAGGATTAAAGTAATAATAAATATATAACTTAAAAAAAAACTTATATTTAACTGTAGGTTGATTTTTAAGTGTTTAAGATAGTCAGATAGTCAGAATAGTTATGTAAACATACAGAGTTTAATTGTATAATACACTTTTCAGTAGTATGATCGAAATTATATCATTTCGGAATTTATCTGCCATGTTACATTTATATGAAAAAAAACACAGATATATTCAAAGGACGATGAAGTGAAAATCGGATTTTGTTGGGCAAGTTACAAAGAAGTACTATTTTATACATTAAATAATATTATTGACACGTTTATAAATAGTCTGGAAGATTTTTAAAAAAAAACATTTTCCCACTTAAATACTCAGTAAACATCTCTGTCTAACTGAGTTTTTAATTTATCACGTGGTGATAATGTAAACAAATGCTTGAGGCTTTTATAGTGAAACTTTATTAAGTTGACAAAATCAGTTTAATTCTTTTTAATGTTTTATAAACTATGTACTTTTTTGATATACTTATTAAACAGGGAAAAAACTTCTCCCAACAAAATTATTTCTATACATTGTCATAGCAACAAGACGATAGAAATAAAGGATTGGTAATTAATACTATATAAACTTAGATTTGACTACACCCTGTTGTTCAATTGTTTTCTTAATAACAAATATATATATATATATATATATATATATATATATATATATATATATCGGTGACAATTAATTGTTCATAAAAAGGTACCTTCTCAATTAACTAGAATTGATAATAACCATTTTATTTATATTTGAAATCGTTGAAACTATTTGTTTAGTGATATAACTGACTTATAAAAGCAACATTTGCGTAAACAGAATCGTAATAATTTAATATTATGTAGTTTTATTGGTTTCTAAATAAAAATAAAAGTATTTTCTTTGTGATTAATAACTATACTACTTATAATAGTACAATAAATGTGAGGCATAATGTTTTCGTTTCACATATGAACATTTTATACGAATAGTTGTGTTTTCATTTTCAGGTTATAAATACACTGTTTCTCATTTAGGTCAAATTCAAATATGATGTATTTGTAAGTAGATACTATGAATATCGATGAAAATATGCTAATTACCTTAGTTTGCATTGAAAGTATACACTATTAGTAACAACGTACGGTAATACAATTATCAAACTTAAGAAACTTCTAACTAATATAGATATAAGATATGAAGCGTAGACCGATTTATTGTTTTACCAAGCATCTTATTTTTTTTATTATAATATTTTACCAATATTATTGACTTTTATAGTTTCATATAATTTGCTGGTTTTAACTAGACAACCTTTAAAAACCAGTACGCACTAGATATCTGTTTCTTTCTAGTATGAAGCTCCTCCATAATGCCTACTCACGATCTTACCAGAGAATGATCCTCAAAAATCGAGGTGAATGACCTTTATATAATTGAGATAGGATCCTATAAGTTACCTTTCTCACCTCAGTCAGTTTACAATAGACTCTACTGACTAATTTGATAAAATGTACTTGATATCTCTTAACTTGATAATCCAACAGTCCAAGTTAAGTTTCAAATAGATCAAATTTAAAGGTTATCGTGACTTGATTTTAAGTATTTTGCAACATTTAGGAGTGTTTGCTAATCAATAAATTATTTACTTCATAAAAGCCTGTTAGTTTTGGCTTAGCTTGGTGTGTTAATGTTCCCATAAAGTTTGTTCATCATTCCGTTTTGTTCACTAATGGAAAATAGATGCAACTCATGCATTTATCCATCACATTCAGCGAAAAGATTGTTTGTAATTTGTCATAGTCTTAAATCATTTGAATTTATCACGACAATAACTCGTCTCCATACTGAATATAGATGAAATAACCTTGCAGAGTTTATACTAAGTTTCAATGTTTACTACAGATTTATTTTTAGGGTAGAATGCTTTAAGTTGCTCTTGGTACTCTTCTTTTGAGCAGTCAAATGTGTGCTTTGTAAATTTAACAAAGCGAAATGACATTGGCTGACATTTTTAACTTTTATGATGGATTAATAATAACTGAAAATGTTAGCACATAGAATCTGTTGTGACTTTAAATGCGGCTTTTTATCATGTAATTTATTCGCCAATCGAAATACGGTTTATTCACTCTTGTACTATACTAACCAATGACGTTCGACCGGTCTGACCAGATTAGCGTCCTTAATGATCCGTTGCTCGCCTAGCCTGTCCAGCTGAGTCCAGAACACCAATAACATCGCCCACTATGCGAGTCATTTATTTCAAACATGCATGGTTTATATACCAGCCAAACAGACCTCATCATTACGATAAATTAGGAAATAACATTTATACAAGATCAAGGCAAAAAGTAGCTGTGAACGAAGAAGACTATAATCAATAAACTGAACATAAATTAAGAACAGTAAATCGTACAATAATAATCTATAGGTCAAAATGAAGCTTATAATAAGTGAAATATAGATATACACAGTTTGGTTACTGAATAGTTATACAATAACAATATATATAAAATATTAATCCATTAATATTTCTCGGAAGTTACTCGTCACTGAATCTTCACTAGGACATTACAGAATCAAATCGATTGATGTAAATAATAATGTACAAAATAACGGTAGCCTGAATTTCTCTAGTTCATTTTTAAAAAAATGATTTATTTATATGGACGAAAATCGATACATTGGAAAGAATATGTTACCCGGGAGTTTAGTATTTCATTTTTTATACGTACATGATATTGGGTTGCTATGACAACATGTTTTGTATTCCAAATTAATTGAAGCATTTTTCCCCATTAGTATCTCAATTATTTTATTTAGAATCCTCTGTATTACTTGTTCAATTTCAATTAACACTATTATTTAACAATTTGTTGAACTTTAAGATGTCAGAATACCGGAAACCAACAATAGTAAAAAGTTTGATGTGACGAAGCGCATTTCTTAAAGTTGTAAACTGTTTACAATGTGATAAATTTGTTTTAAGCTGACTTGAAGTTGATTTAATCACTCTACTTTGTTTATCTATAGAATAATTCACCCATCAAGTAAATTCTTGTAATCTCAAAAATTTGAGCTTTCGTAGGGTAAAACTATTTTTTCAAATTATCAAGGTATATTACTGAACAATATATAAGTAGTTTTAATAAATCGATATTTCATATCAAGTGAATTAAAGTACTGGAACGCATATCATGAACGGTACAACTAAAAAAATTAAGCTTGATTTAATTAATAACTATAAGTTAATGAATATTGAGCTAAAAACTACTTGACTTTGGGTGACTATGAATTTATTTGTTCTAGCTAGTTGTATTTCAGAAGTGTGTATCAGGTAAAGCTGAATTTCCTAGGCTTATTTTTACGAAATGTCATAGATGTCCATAGCAGAGCAACCTCAAACTAGAAAACAACTCGCACTGAGTGCTCTACAGTTTTTATTGGTACTTCAACTATTATCTATCGAGAATCTAAATCACATCTTTATTAAACATTACCATTAATACAGCTTAGTAAGTAAACAAACTAATCTATTGATAAACTACATTAAAATTTGTCTCACATATATCACTTACACCAGCATAATTTTGTTCAATTTCTTAATCAGTCAAATATTCATATGCTCAAAATATCTTACATAATCAAATGTTACTGGTTTTCACTTAAGTGTGATTAATTTTATTTTTGATTTTGTATCTTTCTTAGTCTATTTATAAAGGTTTGACAGAAGTTCCACATGAAACTTATGAAAATTCTGGTATACACAATGAAGATTGTTGTCTCCCATTGTTAAAAGAAGGTTATATCTCTTTAATGTCATCTATGATAGGAAGTGTACTCAGTTTTCCAATAGCATTAACTTTAATTACAATTATTGGACGAAAATGGACAATTAACACTTGTTTCTTTTTAACAGCTTTTCTAATATTTATTGAAGTAAGTTAGTAGAGTAAGTGTATTTTCTCACAATATAAAATGACTGATGATTTATTCATTTATTCATGGCTATTTTGTTAAACTGGGTAATTTATTTTATTAATCATAAATTTAAGCAGAATGTATGTGTCCATTTTTTACTCCATTCGGCTCATCTCATGAATTCATTCCTATTTATAAACATACTTTTCATCCTAATTCGCTGAAACTTGATTAAATGAATCATGCCAACAATCGAAATTGATTGACAATTTAAATAAAATAATCGTTTAGTTAACGATTTTAAAAAGCTTGAATTCCATGTGAGGGATCGTGGATACCCACTGTTGACGAGTCCCATACCAAAACGAAACATCTATCCAGTACTTCCATGTGTTCACTGATAGTCTTAACATCGATCGGTTCATGATCTAGATGAAAGAAAGACGATGTCTAGTTCATAAGATTAATAGAATTATGATATATCAGTCTCATCTTAAAAATATTACTTGCGGATACTATTACCAATTTGTTTCAAAATAATTTACAAGATCACAAGTAAATGTGCTAAAAGAACCTCCAGACATTTATCCCGATCAATGAACTTGCATAGAATAATCAAATTTCCTCATGGTCATATATATATTTTTTTCTGGTTAGCGTTTTTCTAGTGTTAGTTTTCTACGGGATGGGGTCACTAACCTCATGCCCAATCCTCCTTCTTTATCCGAGCTTGGAATCGGCAGCAGCTCCAGAGGGGCCCCAGGCGGATTCATATAAATATATAGTGTTAAACATTTATACTGGATAATAAGATTGTACACTACTTAGCATGGAACTGTGAAATATGGATTCGTATGTCCATGTAAGTTTAAGTGGATGTCTTTTACCTAAAGTATTGATTTATGAAAAACTGACCAGAATTTTCATTGAATATTCGGATAAATTAATTCGTCATCGGAAACTATGAGGCTACTGAACAACTTCATCAATTGACTCAATAACTGAATACCGGTTCACATTGTGGACCCTTGAGTTCACAGACCCAGCCTTACAAAACATCAAAGCTTCTGAGGACCTCAAAAGAAAAGTAAACATTGTTCTTGTTCTTCCTGATTTTCAATGGTTTTCCGGAAAATGTGGATTTCTAATTCCGTAGAAAAAGAACCCTGATAAAAATACGTTAACCAGAAAAAGTCATTCTAGTCATTTTTAATGCAGACCAACCTCGAATTATTGTAACTTCCTAAAAATCACTTTATTTAATGTAACTTTAATACATTTTCTTTACAACCAATTTCAGGCTTTCTGCATGCCGTCAAATCTACTACGCTTCTTCTTTTTCGCAACACGAGCTGTAGCATCCGCCGGTAATAATGCGACTGCAATTTATATAACAGGTTTATATGTACCACGTATAAGAAGTTTTGTGTTTGGTGTTATGTCAACGTGTTTTCGTATTGGTGTATTAACATCACCTTATCTAGGGCAAGTATTTTTACAACGAGTATCTGCGTTAGGTGCAGTATTGATATTTTCAGCTATGGCACTTATCGGATTTGCATTTAGTATATTTTTACCACATGCTGGTGATAAATATTTTACTTCGACAAGTATAAGTAAAGGTGTATTTCGTAAAATTTTTAAAGATAGAAAATTGATGAAAACTAAACAGAATGATGATGGAATGAAATCTGTAACAAATCCAGCTTACAGAGACGATGAGAAAACAATACGAACAATAGTTGAAGAGGTTAAACGAAAGGATAATAATACACCAGTTGTTTTACCAGTTCAACATAATTTAAATTCAACTAGCGTTGAAGAGGTTAACATTGTACCAAATGAATTAGTAGTAGTAGCATTAACTCCATGTAATCCAATCTAATAAATAACACTGTTATACTATGTGTGCATTTACTGACTGATATATATATACATAAACATATCAATTCAGAACTGAAGCATTTCGTAATGTACTGCCGCCTTTTATCTTGTGTTTCTTTTTGTACACAATTTTATTATTACTAGCTTGATGTACACCGTCATGGTTACTTCAATATATTAATTTTGAGCATTGTATTCTATTATGACCGCGATAATGAATATATTTTTATGTACAACAATTCTTTTTGCTATAATTGCGATTCTCAAGTTAAAACTAGCTGAGTCATCTAACAAGTTAATCGTATGGAATATTTTCAACAACCTAAAGAATTTGATTTCTGAATTGGCTGGGGAATTATTTATATGTGCATACGTTTTGTGAACTAGTTAGATTCAAAGGAAACTATAGGTAATAATTAAGTAAGTTCTGTTTGTAATTTGTTAAGACTTTAGAGGCCATTGTCAGGAATTTATTACTATTTGAACACATAAACATTGGTACAAGGGTGCACCCAAATACATATGCGCCACACAATAAAAATGAGACCAGTAGCAGTTAACATTGATTTGTGTGAGAGCTGGGATACTGCCCGCGGAACAAATGTGGAGCTACTTTAAATAAATTGGAGGCTGAAACGTCCAAAATGCTACAGAAGTTAAAATCTAAACTGCGACCAGCTTTATGTTTTTCTTTATACCCTAAAAGCAATAACCGTAGATTTTATGGCCTACCGAAAATACATAAAACAGATATCCCACTAAGACCTGTGGTTGATAAATTCACCAACCAATAATCTTTCTAGATACCTGGCCAAAATTCTTAAACCATATGAAAGCGTAATCAAATATGGAATAAAAAATTCTAATAATTTCAAAAACATTGTCAGTAATATCCGCAGAGAAGAGGATGAAATAATGGCAGGTTTTGATGTTTGCTAATTGTTCACTAATGTTACTGTTAATAAAGCTTTAGATATTGTATATAACCTCTTAGATTCTGACACTGAACTTAAACCTGATCACCAGAGTCAAAAAACTTGTCACTGAACCAAATGATATAAAAATGGAAATGAATTTAATTATATTCACTCTAATGATGAATAATTATCCGAAGGATTTTACTAAAAGAATAATCAAGAATGAAAAACAAAATGATATTATTAAAAGAAGAGTTAAGCAAAAAGAATGAATCAACACAGTGGTGATCCCATATCGTAAAGGTATTTCAGAAGAGATCAGAAGGATTCTAACTCCTCAAAACTTAAGAGTATTCTTTCGAACAAACAATACTCTAATATCAAAACTAGTAAGAATCAAAGATGCAATTCACAAGGAAGAACAACAGAATTGTGCTTATGAAATCAAATGTAATGGCTGTAATGCAACTTATGTAGGTGGAACATCAAGGCAACTGACTGTGAGGGTGAAGAAACACAAACTGTACTTAAAGCACATTCCTAAATCCCCAGACGATGTAAAAAAATTTGAGAACAAATCAGCGATAGCATTACGCTCGATAGAATCGAGTCATACAATTTATTTCAATGGCTCAAGAATCATTCAGAAAGGCTTTAATTCTTACAAAGAACGACTAACGACCGAAACCCTACATATATGGGCTAATCCAAACAGTATTAATAGGAGAGATGGAATACAACTAGCTGTCCCATGGCAGCTAATAATTAGTAAGTAAACCTGAACTCCTTATTCCATTCTAGCTATCTATATCATATTAACTAATCAATAGATAATTCACTCAACAGTTCAAATCTTATCTGAATATGTTAAAAAATTGACTGGAACATTAAAATAACACAAACTTTCAACTACAAAGGCATTCTTCTCTGAATTCAGTCTTTTATCTTGTTTATTTATCTTCATTTTTTGCATGTTGTGACATTTTTGTTTCATGTCATATATATGTTTTCCTAATATTCTACTGACCGAAGACAATATATAGTGAATGAAATATCCTCTTCTTACTTATGTATACACACAATCCGTTATCTTAACACTTTTCGTTTCACACCACATATCTCTTACACACTAATGTAAATACCTACTTTAAACATTGTTAACGTTGATTGGATGACTTATTCAGTATATAGTAAACCAGAGAACCATGTACCTATTTATATTCGATAATTTTGTTGTTTGATTATATTTTCCTTGAAAAAGCTTGGACCAGATTGCCAGGCAAAACGTTGGATTTACTTCAAATTCTTTCACTGAGATTTTACAAATACAGGCTTATTTTAGCTGAATTGAGTTCAATAATTACGAAATGTTTCTGTTACAGTAAAATGTACTTTAGACATCAACAGGTTAATGAGGAAGACCACCTCTTTCACCAGACCAATAACGCAGTTAACAAATATGGACGAAAACTAATATTTTAGCATACCAAGCCCAGATTAACTGAACTAGAGTAACTAAACCGGGTTGCTAAGACAACAGTGAATGTAAATTTCGTCCGTTTAAAAGATGTATCTAACTTTTACGACAGATGTAATTGGTAATACAACAGAATCCCTGATGATTTATATTCTTAGCCACATTTTGTAACATAAGAAAATAGTAGGCAGCATAATCCTCGACCGACCGTCCTAAGAATCATGATGGACAAATGGTTGTCAATCTTACCTTTCGTCTTACAGCGATATATCATGAACGAACCATTTCTTATTTTTATATATTTAGTCCAAGTCATGGAAGATGGGGACCCAAAAGAACAGGACTAAATAATTTTTCATAAATATCCCCGGACACACTGCTGATTGACCTTACTTGCTACACCATAAGAATTTTTACAGCTAATCAGATACATGAATTCCCGGACTATTCTCAGCAGTCCACCATAAAGAGCGAGTGAAAAAAATTATGCTGGTTCTGTAGTAGTACTCTGCATTTAGGTGTAAAATGCATGACATAATAACGAGCATTGATTGCCTGTATATCGTTACACAGTAAAACGGCGCTACTCACATCAATGGTTGTGGAGTTTTTCTGAGTAACGAACTACTACTGTATACTCACTTGAGAATAGTTACCAGAATATCAAAGAGGAGCTGTGAGATAGAGCAAACCTGGTTGATTGAGCTGTTGAAATGGAACAATGGACAGAAGTCATTGTATTCCTCACTGTACGAGGTATTTATGTACAGGATGTGCATGGACATTTCAGAAACACAATTTTTTGATGGTCAGACGCAAAGGAAGGTCCTGTTTAACGAAATGAAGACAGCCTTGGTATCAAGAAATATAACAACTATCAGCCGGTGTTTCAGAAAAGATAAAAACGCAAAAAATATATGCACAACTCAAACAAGGATCCAGTAGCTCCCCTCGAGAATAATTTTTACAATCTGCAGTGTGTGGTGGGGGTCAATCTTTCTTCTGATTTTGTTAAGCATCTGGAGGTAAATATCAAATTACTTAAACCCTATGAATGAATCAGAAATCGAAATCCCGAATCCATAAAACAACTCTTAAAATAGTTTAAATATCATTCATAATACGGCGTATTATCCTTAGGAGACGTTATAGGTTGTAAGAAGGATGTTCGCATGTTTTTTGATAAACTGTCTCCTAATAATGCTTATTTGACGTGACGCTGTATTTCAAATTACACAGTATTTGATTTCCAATAAAATTAGTAACAAAGCATCTTTCACGAGATTACGAAAACTAGAGGGCCTTATACATGTGCATACCTAACCAATCACAAACGTTAAGCAAGAACAAAAACATTATGTTATGTCGATCTTATATTTTTTAAGACATCACAAATTAGTTGAGTATCACTAAAACAAATGTCTTCTTTGAAATCAGTACTAACAAGTATTGTTTTTGAAGTATCCAAGATCCTAGTGATCAGCCTTGTGATAAGACAAGTATTCAACTGCAAAGGAGAATAAGATAGAATTGTTAGGTAACTTACAAACAATAAAATGTCAAAGGACAATTGATGCATTGCACAAGAATAGATCATATATCTGTAAGCAAAACTGGGATGAGGCATACATGAAATCCGTAGTTTGTCAAAATTCTCAGCTTTATACATTTGAAGGCAGGTACAATAAAAAGCAAACATAATTTTGAACCAGTGTGTAACAAGTGTAATTTTATTTAACCCACATTATTTTCACATGAACTTACATTGAAAGCGAGTAACACAGGTTCATCTACAGACGTTAGACTACTTTTTGAAATCTTAAAATGGTAAAGAGATATTTTAAATATTCACTAAAGCAACAACCCAGTACATTTATATATAGTGAGGTTTCTGAAACTAAAATTCCGACTGAAATACGCATCTACATCGAATCGTCTTACTCGTCCAATTATAAATTGTGTATTAAATCATAAAAAGATAGAGATGAAAAGAGATGTGACAGGGTCAATCTTAGCAAGTAAATCCTGATGCCTATTCGATTGATTTATTTTTTTAACTGTCTATTTTTGGAAGCTTATTAGCTCCTAGCTTTTTAAAGATATGAGCGAAACATGTAATGAAGTGTACTACAATATAGTACCAGACGTTCCAAACTCTTTGCAAAAGAAACATAAAAAGGACGGCCTGCTTGAGCATCTGGGCTACCTGTTCCTGCCATCTAGATATTTCAACAAGTTATCTATTTTTTGTTTGTTTTAATATATCATTATGTTTATTAATCGCATAAGCTATTCTGCTGCGTTCCTGAAAAGTGTACAACCTTTCGTTGTCAAAGTTACAAAACACTTAATAAGACACAATGTGGTTGCTGGCAATATACAACGAAAAGAATGCACATTATTCAGATGTTCATTTACTGAACTGCAAACATCTAACTGGCGATCACTCAATATTTATCGCCAGGATCGACCAGAAGGAAAGAAACGGAAACTTGTTGAAATACTTTGCGCTGAGAATTCTATATTGTACCAAAAATATAATATTGAATAAAGCTGATAGTAATAATAATAATAATAATAATAATAATAATAATAATAATAATAATGTACAAATAACATGAAGGCTCACTTTGTCAGGACCAAACAGGGTCCGAGTATCAAGATCATGAGAAACATGACCATTTACTGTCGGTAGATTGCTTTTTTGGGACAATACCTGAAAGGATATTTTATCAAATACGTGATTTACAATATCCCCAATCATTCCGTTGCGTGAAATAAGTACCATTAAGTGGTCAGAAAACTCTATCTGTACAACAGTGACCGTAAATCCAGCAACAGGAAGCTCTAAAGTAGACTAAAAAAACTTTAATGAACATGAACGCAATTACCTTGAATACAGCAGGTAAGTCCATTCACAGTAGAACTTAAAAAGGACAGAAGGGAAGTCTTGAGTAGTAGGAATAAAAAACAGGTGGCCTATAACAACTTTTGGGATTTACAGTGCCTTGAAGATCCAATCACTAGTGTATATTAATTCTGCCTAAACGGACTGAACGTATATGGACGGAAAAATTTAGGGACTATTGTACACAATAAATGGTATTATAAGTCATAATTCTAGATGAAGGTAAAGTAAACACACTTACTTGGATTCGACAATGTATACGCTACTGCAGAGTTGAGCTATAGGAAAACTACAAAGAAAAGATTAAATGTTGTAACAGAAAGCGCACAACACACGACTCTTGAAAATCATATCAGAGGACTTTAATTACATTTATAGAAATGCCACGTTATTGCACGGAGACCTAAATAGCAGCAGGAATCCCTGCATCTAGAAATTTGTTGTGCTTAGAACTTTTGAGGAACCGAGTGTTCATGTCTTATACTAAAGCTAATTATAGGTTATATGGTACATGTTTTAAGATAACTCATAAGTAAACCAATGCATAATAAACACTTTAACATTAGGAACCGTGATGTACACATTCCTGTTAAACTATATATGCATGTCCGTACAAAACCAGTGTAACGCAACATCTCAAGAGTGTTACAGTAAAATTATGTTCAAATGGTTCAAATGGTTGTGGACGGAATAGAAGAAGCTTCCGCTTAACAGGCCTCCGTGTCTAGTAGCAGGAGATCACCAAATCCTCCAGACAGGAACCTAGGTATGTTAACAATAAAAGAGGAAAAGAAATTGGTAAATCATAGTATGATGCTGTTTTAAATGGTCCTGAACGGAATAGAAAATGCTTTTGCTTGACGGGCTTCCATATTTAGTAGGAGTGGATCACTGATGTAACCAAGTAGGAATCCTAGAATATTAAACGACAAAATAGAAAAATATTTGTACATTATAGTGAGATACTCTCGTTATTCCTTGGGAATATACCAAGTTTTATCTCGAAGGACTCCTGAAAAGTCGCTTAAACAAACTTAGCTGGCAGATAATTTCAGCACTTGACTAATCTTAAGGGGCAGAAGATGCCCACAGTACCTTCTGCTATGTTATCTTCAGTTTCTGTGAGGTACCTTTGAGATTTTTGTTGAGACTGAGCTTAAGTAGGTACTCAGAAGAATTCTGATCATAGAGTACTAACAAATCCAGATTTTTCTCTAACGTGGGATATCCATAGAGGCGATTCACCTAATTTGTATTCGTAGTCTGAAACATGTCTCAGCTGGACTGATTTACACTCTGAAGTGTTAAGTGTAAGCCCGTTTTTGTCCTTGCATTTTTGAAGTCGAGTCAGATTCTCTCGGAGTGCCAGTTTATAATTCTAGTTGCGAAATTCTCTCCAGAGTTTCACATCATCAGTGAAAAGTAATAAATCAGACGATACCTGCTATGGGAGATCATTTATATAAGTTAGAAGACGCCCTCGTACTGAACCATGAGAGACCACACTGAGATACCCCATAGTCTGGGAAAAGATGGAGTTTATCCTGACCCTAAACGATCGATTATTTAAATATGAACTATGCCTATCCATTAAAAAGGACAAGGTACCTAATATATTAAGCCTACTGATGGGGAATATATGATTCACCCTAATAGAAGCTTTTGAGATATCAAGGTATCTGACATTAACCTTCCCCTTAAGATCAAGGAAGGTTGTCCATCAGTTCACTACGGTTATGAGGTCGGTTATGCAAAGATAAACTCTCTGAAACCGTTCCGTTGGGGTGTTTATGGATGGTAAGTAGTCACGTAGAACATCGTATATCAGTGACTCTATAGTTTTTAAGAGAATAAAGAGACGTGTTACCGGCCGGTAGCTTGAAAATTCACTGCATCGAAAACCCTTGAAAATTGATGTAATGTGAGTTAGCTTCTAAAAATTCTGGTAATCTGCCTCGGCTTAGCGAAAATAACAACACCTTGCTAGGTGGTTTTATGATGATTAAAGCCGCCTCTCTCGACATAGCAGAACGGACCATATCCGGGCCAGGATGTGTTCTTCTTTAAGTGCTCGTTTTTGTGATGCACCAAATCAGCTCTCAGCTTCACTTCTGAGAGTCTTGGTGAATTGCAGGTGAAGGTTGAAATGTTTGAAAGTTTTGTTCTGCCAAAAGATCCACAGCGTCATCGTCGTTAGGACATAACAACTGGGAAAATCCGGTTTTGACTTGTCGGAGAGTAGGTGCACGGTGGAGAAAAATTTATCAGTTAGCTTCATCTGGTAATGAAGCTTATCTTCCATTAATATCACTGTACATTGTTTCTTTGCTCGTTTGAACTCCATATATATGCCGTCGTCACCAGTTCATTTTTATCCTACACAGCATTGTTCTTCACATCATAGCATTCGAAGAGCACGATATTTTATGATTGTGGGCTGCTTGTTATTTTTAAGGACCGTTTGCAGGACAGACTGTTTTATAGCACATAAGATCATATGCAGAAAGAAATCCCAATGAGCGTCCTCATCAAGTTGAGGGTGTATTTCCTAGTCCGCTTACTGTAGATCTGTAAAGCGGACACATCCAACCGTTTGGAATTCTAGAGCCTGTTATCGATAGGATGTCTTAGCTCAGCTTTGCTGGTAAAGCTGAGGGCTATGTCAACGTGATAACTTTCCCGGGAGAGCCAGGATTATGAGGTTGTCACTAAGGAAATCCTCATTTGTAAATATGCAGCCTGAGTGTAACGTATCTGACCATGTCTCTACGACGTTGCATACCTCGCATTTTTAGATAATCCCAACATTCAATAACGTTAAGGGACAGAGCTTCAGTAGCGTTGCCACCTCAACTGCACATATGTCCAGCAAAATTGATTTTAGAGAGTTTGAAGTCTCCTAGAATCGGGATACGAGTGGATCCGAAACGAGTATAGCGAGATAATGCCTCTAGTATCTGATTTGCAGACTCCTGACAGCAGTGGGCTTCCTGGAGATGACTTCAACTAGACACTTCGACGTGTTAGACAATCTCACTGGGCACCATACGGATTCATTAAGATTGATAAACTGTCTAATGTACTCTTGATGTACTACCAAGATCTAAGGTACTGGACAGCTCCGCCCCCAATTCATATTTATCCTGTAGATAGCTCTTGGTCCCTGATTTTAGATGCCCATGTTTTAGATACTCCCATCAGATGAATATCATTGGCGTTACATAGTTCGCGCAACTTATCCATCTAAACCAAAGAGTCTGTAGAATTATGGTCTACTATGATATTAGTACTGCTCTAATAATAGACCTAATCCTAAATTTGTAGATTTGTCATGATATAACTGCCTAATCTATAAGATCTTACGTGGAAGTCACACCATCGACTACACCAACTCACTGTATCGTATCAATTACCAATACATGATGTAGAACAAGGTTAGGCTAGAGAAAGAACAATATATTTAATATGAATAGAAGATATAAAGTAACATTGAGATGGACCACGCCTGCATGGACGAGCCATGCCATCCGATCAAACCCAGTCCATTCAATTCATTGTTCGCGCCTTCTCCATCGTTAGGTATTTCTCCGTGTTAAATATTGAATATCTATTTTCTGAGTAGTCTCGTGTTCACAGCTTTGTGGATTGTGTGGCTATTGTCCAATGCCACTACACTACTCTCCCACCAGAATCAACGTGATGTTGGTTCGATACCAAATTGGATGGGATCGTCGCGCGCCGGAGGTCACCAAGGATAATAAGAATCCTCCGGGTATTGGTAAGCTGAAAGATAAATCAAAAATAAAGCGGCAGCATCTGGTCGGGAAATACATGTAATAATTTTAAAATATCTGCCTTCATGCTTAAAACGCTTGAAATGAAAATTTGGGTGAGGATTATTTGAGCTATAAAAAATGGGGTTACAATAATGATAATAATAATAATGATAATAATAATAATAAAACGATGCGTGCTAATAGTCGTTGGTTAATAACTTAACGTATAGGTAGTAAGTATTTTGTGTTTAGAAATAATAAAGTAATAAATGTTGTAGAAATATTAATATTGGTATTGGTTTTGGTTTAAATTATGAAATCAATTTACAATTATGCCGGTATGTTGTCCATATGAGTTGATTTCCAATTGCATATGTATTAGTAGGCTAACTGAAGGAACAAAAGTATACCGTGGAGAAGAATTCCAACTAGTGTTCCAGTTAGTTTGATACGGTTTATTTAGTTACGGTGAGATTTTCTCAACCTCATTTTTACTTGACCGTGATAGAATTTAGTAATACTACTAATACACATGAATGTTTATCAAAACAAAATTTAAATACGTGAGTGATGATTATATGAATTTTAGGCAGATAGCTAGGAACAAATCGTTAAACATGAGTGTATTCGTAAGAGACATGCTCTAGACTCAATGTTCTGATCTGTGGCAGACTATTTATTTATATTTATACTTGTCGGCTGATTGGGCATACAAGTTAATTGCAAGTATGCAGTTTATCATAAGGCGGAATACAACTTAATTGGGATATAGTAGTTATAAGTTATTGAAATCAATTAAGCCTATGTGTCATATTACTAAGTGATGTGGTGCTGCAAGATGTATTTAGCTAAATGAGTTTTTACAAGATGATTAATAGTGAGTGATGCTCATGTGATTAACAGGGAGTACATAAGTTGTAACCAGGGGGAGTACACTCCCAACTGACATCTATGATAATGGCTTGAACCTTAGTCAGTGTTGGGGTAAATTCGACATTGATGTTTTCAGTTTACAGGAAATTTGCTCGACTGCTTATACTGATTATTTGCATGCATGGTTGTGTCGCTAGACCATCAATTAGACTGACAAGGTTTTGAGATATTTACTGAATGAGCAACTGATAGAGAAACATACTGTAATCATCTGTAGTGAATGAAGATAAAAGAAAAACAACACTAGTGATAATTATAAGTCAATTTGCTGACCGATTTTGTTAATCGTTTCCTTAATTTTATCAATCATATTACGTGATTGTCAAGTCATGACAATGCTTTATGACGATATCCTGAAACTATTATGTTTAACTAGTTATAGTGTTGATTGAGGATTAGTCAGTGGAAAAATAGGTATTGTTGCTTTAGGTGATTCGAAATTATCAGAAATTTATAACGCTAAAGAATCCGAGACGCCTAATTTAATTATAAATTTAATTATACATTGGAAGTTTATGCTGATGATGTCACAGGTATTCAGTGTTTGACAACGCTTCTACCAGTAACACCTTCTAATATATTTCGTTCCCGCCCAGAGAAATCAAAAGACAGAGTCGAGGAGATTGGAAGAGTATATTTGGCGATGACCAATATATCGGAATTCTCTGGTCTAAACTGGCTAGCGATTGCGGCTGATGTTGAGCACGGCGTTACCACACGTGATCTGGTGCAGATGCCTGACCGAGCGCCTTCAGCTAGATGAGTCCACTAAAACATATGGTCAGCATCCAATGTCGAAAACTTAGTGCTATTTATTTTGGGGATTTATTTACCGCTACAGATCACTCCCCCCCCCTAGTGGGGCAGTGACGACCCTAAGACGTGGCCAGCCAGAAGTTTAAACCCAACGAGTTTGTCGTTGGTAAACACTCTTCTGATAGCTTACTAAATTTAGCAGCGTCTGGTCGTCTTTCC